AGACCCTTCATAAGTATATCTAATGTTTCAGGTACTTGAGTATTATTACAGTCTAACTCTATGACTTGTAGATGCGGCAATCGCTTCACAATTAAAACAGCAATGTCTATCATATTTGGATGTTCCCAATTCATATCAAGATTGAGCCGTTGTAATCCGTTTGACATAAGAATATTGCACAAAGAAGCATCGTTGAGAAGATCGATTACATTTTGCTTCTTCGAATCATCTTTTGAATCAGGATTTAAGCTACAATCCAGCTGTAGAGTACGTAGATTAGTAGTTTGCAAAAAGAGTAAATGAAGTTGAGCTAAGTTGAATGGATCATCAATACTTAGTGAAGTAATTTGATGCCAAGAAATAACAGTTGGTAAGTAAGACAGAAATTCATCGTTGTCTTGGGAGGGAATGCTATCCATGATGATCTTATTCACGCATGCCGCACGATTGTTCAAGACCGGCACAGTATATGGCCAGAGACTTTGCCTAAATTTAGAAACACCGTTTGTTGTAAGAAAAAAAAAAAGAAATTTATACATACCCTTGAACAGTGTTTTTGTTTACATAGTCATAAGCAGATAAACACTTGTCCATTCGTGGTATCGTTAAAGCTCTAATAGAATAATTGTCTTCATTTAAAGATAATTCAAGTTCGATTGGTACTCGTCCTTTCAGTTGTCGGAACGTATTTAATAAAATGTCGCTTGTGTCCGAGAGTGAGATCGAAGGCCACGCATACCATTTCACAATCAACACATATAAACATTGATCAGAAAGCATCGATAGTAAGTTGTGAATAACATGAGGACCAGTCACCAATCCTAATAATTTGAAGTTTGTTAGTGAAAACCAAACATCGCGCTCAAATAATCGATCAAGTGGTGCCACAGAATGAGTATCATATTTCGACGTTATTTTAAGACAGCGTAGGTTGGGAGCCAAATGTTTATCAATACCAGAAATTCGACTAAAATAGATCAAGAAAGAACAAACGTCCTATCAAATTTAGCTATTTTCATCATTTATAATCACGTCTATTCACGTTTATTTCGAAAACGTTGTTTCTTTGAAATCGACAATATCTTCTATGACTTTTTTCTCTGATTGTTTTCCATATGGTATCTATCCGTTGATTAATGTTTAATAAAATATATTGTTGAGAAAAAAGTTAGGAATAGAATTTCGAACAAATTTATTAGTAGAACCATAAAAAATGATTCAAAACTATTACCAGTACATCCTCATAGTTATTCTGAACTCATTTGATGACAAATTGTTTCTTTCCAATGTAATTATCCTTTATCGTAAAGTACTTTCATTTTTATAGTTTTTCGTCTTATTCGAAATCCTTCATCTCTGAATATTGTATTAATCTCATCGGAAATAAAAGATGTTGCTCATTTTTATTACATACATCAATCTACAGCTGCACATGGAATTTCATATTTTTGACGGATATCTATAAATCGTCTCTCTCAATTAAATACTTTACAGTCAACTAAAACAAGATTTACTCAAAACGTATGTTATCAATTCAAACATGATTCACTTTCAACTATAATCTATTATGATAATATGATTGAATGCATTTACACATGTCATATTTTTTATTCTAAGTTTAAGAAAAGAAACTTACTTGTTATCGCCATTCATTAATGGATGTTGAGCAGGTAGCCAAGAAGTACTTAGATTAAAGCTGAGCTCTTGTAATTGAGGAAGATGTTCAAGTAAATGTGAAAGAAAGTCTGGTGAGCAATCTCGAAGTGTAATTGATTGCACGTTTAAAAGACTTGTTTGAATCGGCATGAAAGCTTTACCAAGTGGTAGAAGTATTTGATGATCTAGAGTACTCTGTATATGACGCCAGAAACGAAGATGACATACACGTAACAAAGGAAATAAGTGAAAGATTCGTTCATAATATGCACCTTCAGGTACACCTTCAAATGTAGAAGCAGCACGAAAGAAAGTTGGAAAATGCACGCTAAACATGACGAGAGATGTATTGGGTGAGCATGCGTTGAGAATTAATTCAAAAGAAGAACGTTTGATGTCAATTAAAGATAAATGACGAAGATTGATGAATATAGATAAATGTGATGCTAACCATAAACCATTATCAATAGCTAATGTATCTGAGACACATAATGAAATAAGATGATTAGAGATATTTGGTTGCAATAAATGTGTATAATAGAACTCAGTCAATGCCATACTCATTCCGTTTAGACCCAAGTAAATAGGAATAAGTGATGACATATTACTAACGATAGCAGCAAATTGTGAATTGAGATTCGAAAAAATATTGAATACTTCATGAAACTGGAAATAAATAAATATTTCATAGAACAACTCGGAAGAGAGATGCTCTAATGTTGTTGTCATATTTTGTCTTGATATCAATCTATTGAATGTTGTGTATCATTCTTATTTAATAGCTTCATAAACACTAATACAAAGCGTCATTGTTCTTCCCGTCGTGCATTGTCACGATAAGACGATGTTGTTGTCATTCGTCAGCTTCATGGGTCAATGAATATTCAATTTCTGTTTTCTCTTCTTTCGGCCATTTTTCTTTCAACAACGATTATGTGAGAGGTCACTTTAATGTTTTTCGATTATTAACAATATGCTGTGCTTATGTAGAACTGATCATTCTGACATGTTTAATATTTCGCATACAGCCTTGACTTTATAACTATGATGTGTTATCCTTTGACTTCAGATGATCATCTATTTCCGTTACTTGGAATTAGGAAGCAGAGATGGAACCGGTACCGGTTACCGGCCGGTCCGGTCCGGTCCGGTACCGGTCTGGGTTTTGGATCGACCGGTCTACCGGTCTACCGGTCCATACCGGTCTACCGGTCCATACCGGTCTACCGGTCCATACCGGTCCATACCGGTCTACCGGTCCATACCGGTCCATACCGGTCTACCGGTCCATACCGGTCCATACCGGTCTACCGGTCCATACCGGTCTACCGGTCCATACCGGTCTACCGGTCTACCGGTCCATACCGGTCTACCGGTCCATACCGGTCTATACTGATCTATATTTTTCACTTTCCTGCTCTATGATTGCATTCAAGGTATGAAGGTAACGCACCAGAGAGTTCACTGCACAAGAGGATTTCATTTTAGGCTGCAGCCTGTTGTCTGTAGATCGATATTTTATCGATAGGTCGGGTTTTCCTGATAAACTAGCGTATCATCAGTATTCTGTCACTATCGGTAGACCGGTTTGGACCAGTCAGACCGGTTTAGGCCGGTAGCAAGGGGGAAACAGCTAAAATCTGATTTTTTTGATGTTTTTGATGTTTTTGATTTTTCTGGTTTTTTTGATTTTTTTGATTTAAATCAATTGATTTTAAATCAACAAAATGCGAAAAGAAAACAAAAAAATCAAAACAGAAATCAGAAAAATCAGAAAAATCAAAAAAATCAAAAATTCAGAAAAATCAAACAAAAAATCAACAAAATCAAAAATATCACTGAAATCAATAAAATCTAATATCAGCTGCTCCACCCTTGATTGGTGTTTTGAACGACAGAGATTAAAGATTTTTTGATTTTTGTTGATTTTTTTGATTTTTTCGATTTTTTTGATTTTTTCGATTTTTTTAATTTTTTTGATTTTTTTGATTTTTCTGATTTTTTTTCTGAATTAAATCAAAAAAATCAGCGGTTTCCCCCTAGACCGGTAGACCGGTATGGACCGGTAGACCGGTATGGACCGGTAGAC